ATTGATGTTAATATTTATAATTTTTAATATTAATTAATATAAAAAATATATTAATTATATATTTAACCTATTCTCTAACAGTATGTTTAGTTTGAAGAGACTCCCTCTTTCTTACCTTTTCTATATTTGCATAAATAAATGAATTCAAAAATAAAAAAATAACATTTTTTTCCTTTCCTAATCTCCTTTTTATTCTGTTCAACCTAAATATATCTTAAGGACACAACTTAAAAATCCTAGAATAATCTACAAGTTCAAAGTAAATAACTTTTATAACAGAATTTTTTTTTTTTTTAAAGTTTAGAAGTCAAGGTGTTATTGGGTTACACATACTTCAAAACTAATTTTTTCTTGAATCAATCAACTTTTATACTTCTTCTATTTTTAAAATATAATACATTTGTCTTTTATTTTTTACATATTTTTAAGTCACATTTTTTATACTCTATAAATAATAATTAAATTTTTTTTAATCACTCAACAAGATGTATAAGAAAAAAAAATTAATTATCATTTTTATATTATAAAAGAATTATCTAAAATTATGTATAAAAAAGACAAACAATTTATATTTTGAAACAAATGGAATAATAAATAACCATTAATATTAATCACTATACCAACTGGAGGATGAGCGAGGGATAAAGTTGCGTTTGAACATCTTAATAATGTGATATGAGGGAAAAACATATACATTGTAGAAAGCGGTAAAAACTTACTTTTAGCCATTTATTTTACTAAATTGATAGGTTTTAGCTCATCAGCTTATATTATGACATTTTTAGCTCTTAACCTATTAAAATTAAAGAAAATAACCTTCACTTATAACATTTTATTAATTCTGTTAATTGATTGTTAACTCTATCAGTTAACTGTTAACTCTATTAACTAACTATTATCTGACTATTAGCTGACTGTTAGCTGACAAAATCTACTTTTAACTAATAAAGTTAACAGTAAGTTAATAGAACTATTCTGTTAGTTGACTATTAACTCTATTAGTTGACTGTTAGTTGGTAATTAGTTGGCAAAAACTTACTTTTAGTTAATAGAATTAACAGTCAGCTAACAGAGTTAATAATCAATTAACAGAATTAACGAAATATTACAAAAAGAGGGTTATTTTCTTCAATTCTAATAGGTGAAGGGTTAAAAGTGTTATAGTATAAGGTGATGGGTTAAAACTTACAAATCTAGTAAGTTAAAGAGCTAAAAGTCAAAGAAGTTTCCACACCTACCCTAAGAATGATTTTATTTATTTATTTACCTCAATGCCATTTGAATATAAATAATTCCAAAGCGAGTCATCCTATTCAAATGTTTCAACACCAGCAAGTGACAACAGCAGCATACATCATCAATATATATAATTTAATAGAGATACACCATCAAAATAAAGTTAACATTACGAAGAAGAAGAAAAAGGTACACGTATTTATAGAACGCACAAAAATGTTTCTTATAATCGTCACAAAAAATAATCTACAATTTTGCAAAATGTTTCTACAGTAAGATATGAACACGATAGAATACAATTAAGTAGACGTTGTCTCCAGAGTAGACTTTCAAAGTCTAAAAGCAGATCAATCATAATGTTCATCAACGACAACATTATCCAACTTAACCTGCGGGTGGACCTCCACATGATGGAGGAGGGGATAAGGAACTAGAATTTCTGTCTTCGGTTGTTGCCAAAACACACCCAAAAAGATAAAAAAAAGTCATGAAATCAAGCGTGTTTTCAGGAAGTAGATTAATTTTATTCTTTTGAAACGATTGGTATACGACCCATTAATGTATATTTAGTGATTGACACTTTTGGTCATAAGTGAGTTCAGGGTTAGTACAAAATGTTGTTGTATTTTTATTTATAGTTTTGATTATTATTATTTTTTTAATTTTTAGAGTTTAATTGATAAACACTAATTTTTTAAGATAATATTGTGAATAAAATAAAAATTAAGGATTAAAATCTTCAAAATAAAAAGTTTGTGGCTTAGTACATCAGTTAAGAAAGTTGAGACATACGGGTTGGTAGAAAACAGTGTTTCGTTTCCACCATTTTCAAAACACAACACTTTTTTTCGGCTTTCTTCATTGGGCTGGGACAAAAATGATGTTGCCTTTCAACCTTTAGTTTTGATTGATTTTCATCTTAATTTTTAGAGTTTAATTGATAAATAATAATATCATAATATTATAAATGAAATAAAAATTAAGGATTAAAATCCTAAAATAAAAAGTATGTGGCATAGTACATCAATTAAGAAAGTCAAGACATGCGGGTTGGAAGAAAACAGTGTTTCGTTTCCACCATTTTCAAAACACAACACTTTTTTTCGGCTTTCTTCATTGGGCTGGGACAAAAATGATGTTGCCTTTCAACCTTTAGTTTTGACTGATTTTCTTTTTAATTTTTAGAGTTTAATTGATAAATAATAATATCATAATATTATGAATGAAATAAAAATTAAGGATTAAAATTCTAAAATAAAAAGTATGTGGCATAGTACATCAATTAAGAAAGTCAAGACATGCGGGTTGATAGAAAACAGTGTTTCGTTTCCACCATTTTCAAAACACGACACTTTTTTTCGGCTTTCTCTTCATTGGGCTGGGACAAAAATAATGTTGCCTTTCAACTTTTAGTTTTGACTGATTTTTTTCTTAATTTTTAGAATTTAATTGATAAATAATAATATCATAATATTATGAATGAAATAAAAATTAAAGATTAAAATCTTAAAATAAAAAGTATGTGGCATAGTACATCAATTAAGAAAGTCAAGACATGCGGGTTGGTAAAAACAGTGTTTCGTTTCCACCATTTTCAAAACACAACACTTTTTTTCGGCTTTCTTCATTGGGCTGGGACAAAAATGATGTTGCCTTTCAACTTTTAGTTTTGACTGATTTTCTTCTTAATTTTTAGAGTTTAATTGACAAATAATAATATCATAATATTATGAATGAAATAAAAATTAAAAATTAAAATCCTAAAATAAAAAGTATGTGGCATAGTGCATCAATTAAGAAAGTCAAGACATGCGGGTTGGAAGAAAACAGTGTTGCGTTTCCACCATTTTCAAAACGCAACACCTTTTTTCGACTTTTTTTCATTGGGTTGGTACAAAATGCTGTTGCATTTCCACCTTTAATTTTCAACTTTCTTAATTGGATTAATTCA